TTTTCAGTCATAGAATAAAAAATTCTATTTTTTTTACCTAAGCGTTTTTATTTTTACTATGACAATTACTGTTGTTTCTTTCTTGCCTCTTTCGCTGCTTTTACAATTTCTGGAGAGATACAACATCATTAGCATCATTTGAAATTTTATTCTACTAAGTGCACTAGTTAAAATAATAAACATATCGAAAATCTCAATAATTTTGTTGTTATTTTGTTCATTTACTTGCTAGATATAGTGTTGCACTTTACTCTCGATCTGATTATGTTTGCGGATAAAATAATATATGTTATTTGGAGTAAAGTGAGTTTATGTGACTCAGCTTCGGCACATAAACTATCACTTTTACTCCTAATAACATAATATACTATTATTGTCGCAAAAGCTGATTTTTATTCGGTTTATTAACTTGTCCATTCACTCTGAACCCATCTCAATGTGTTGTGCAATTTAAATTGTAACTCACTAAGCGGTCCAAATCCCGATGATTCAGTCAGAGGACGCGATGGGGATTTTTATTATTATAGGAAGCAGGGTATAGATAATGCTATTAGCATTCATTCGCTTTATGGTCCATGCATAAAAGTTTCCGCAGTCGGGGAAACGTCCGTAATGCGCTGCAGTTTCGACCATTAGTCGCTTCGAAAACAAATCATTCGACGACAATAAAATTTTATATTAGGTACCTGCCCACCAATGACGGAAAATATCTCATCACATTGACAAGAACTCGTATTATGGAAATTTATGGCTTGGGATGTAATTGGTTTCGAGTAGATCAACATTGTTTGTTCACTTTTCAAAAGGAAATTGTACTGAATGTTGGCATTATGTGCTGTTTATATGATGTTCGCGGTGTCATTAAATGGTAAATCGACTAGTCGAGAATGGCTTCGAGATGAGGATCCATTATTGTTTGAATAATGACAAATCTAATCTACTAATGATGATCGCCATTTTATTAAATTGCGTTTTTAACAACGAGGTAATTACGTGACTGCAAGCGGAAAAAACTCATAACAACGGAGCTTAATTCAAGGTAAACATTGTTCAACAAATAAATGTGCAATAATATAATTAGCGTCGGTTATGCGACTTGCGATATCTCATTTGAAAATAAAAATATAATAACAAGAGTTTTCCTATAGGTCTTATTTAACTAAAATCGGAAATAAGCTATAAAAAACTGATCTTTTAATGAAATAAATGATTTAGTTCTACTTAGTAGTGGCATTTTTACTCATTAAAACTGTAACAGACAACACGATTTAAACCTGACCCCTTTTCGTCGTTCTTGGCTATATTTTTTGAACCCCTTTTTTGATAGAAGATAAAAAATATCTTGTATACATAAATAGAAAAGGAGGTAGAAACTTTTTTAAAAAAATGGCTTTGAAAAGGGTCGGAAAAATAAATACTGGATTTTAAAAAATATTAAATTATAAAACACAATTGGGAAGACTAAAATACTGTTCAGAAACATCAACTTTAGAAATTTTCTATACTTGCATTAACTTTGAAAAAAATTCTCAACAAATCCTAAGAAAGAAAAAATTGTCGTTGAATATGAAAAATTGTCAATAGAAACTTAAAAATTTCAGAATGCTTGCAAAAAAATATACCAGCGGCTCTCCTCAAAAAATTGTGAGATTAAAAAATTTGGAAGATTAAAATACTATTCAGAAACATCAACTTTAAAAATTTTCTATACTTGCATTAACTTT